CAATGATTAATAATCATATAATAATAATTCTGTTTTTTAACTAAGTCTACCTTTTTGATACAAATTATTATACCGCAACATGAAAGCCACAATCCCAGTTTTCCCCACCGCCCCCTCCCTATGTACAATAGGTTAAATCTTCACATTGCAGTAGTCCTGACCAAATCAAGCAACAGCATCTGGAGACGTGTCCTTGGGCGCTGTACCAAAGCGACCACTGCTCCTCATAGAGGGGCTACAGGCATTGCAAGATGGGTCAAATGCAGAGGACAAATTTCCCTACAGGGGTCAAAAAAGTAAAGCAATGCAGATAAACTGATCCTTTTGGCTTACTGAACGTTTTGCATCGTTGTTCAAAGGACTATAGTGAGTAATACGTCCTTGAGTTAGTTATTAATCTTTAATTTCATGATTTCATTTTTTCATATTGTAATGTATATACTGCATGCACCTCTATAAATGAATGCGCAGTCTGTCAAAGCATCTGTCTCTTGTCAGATCATATACAGTGTGTTATCCACAGCACTGACTTGTGCCAATGATGATGTCATGTCTGTCCTATATTCACTTTAATCATACACATTGCAGTGGTCTTCTGATTAAGTCATCAATACTATTTAGCATGATTTCAGGGCAGCCAAAATGGTCTGGAATGCTCACAAGGTTTATCTCTGGACTAAAAAAAACACAGGAATCCTCCTCGCATTGGATCTAATACCAATAACAATACTTTGTTGTTTTTGGATTTTTATGGACATGCAGAGCTGCTTTACACCACAATATTTGTTTGATACCACCCCCTCTATCCCTGGCTCCAGATTGTGGCGATACTAAACAAATAAAAAATCAGTCAAGCTACAAATGGAGATTCCTTGTTGGGAGTTTGGTAACTCTCTGTTAACATTATACAGTCTGTTTATTGAAACAGGAAAACAATCATTTTTTTTTCATAGATTTCAGTTTTGTGACATATTTCTTTCACTCACAACTCAAAACCAATTTCTCGTACACAATGAGCTATGTGAATAAACTGAAGAACAATAACTGGATACCACAAATACTGTAAAAGCGCATCAACTATATGCAGTTCCATTTTAATTGGAAATAAATAGCTTGAATACAACTTAGTTATCCCCCATAGAGGCTAATTCAACACGCCCTTGGCTCATTAGCCTGGAAGCTCGGTCCCCACTGCAGATCCATGTTTGTAATGGAGGTTTGGGATCTCAACCCAGAAGCAGAGAAACATGTTGGAAAAACTAATTGGAAAAGTATGAAAATAAATAAGCATGAGGGACAACAATGCAAACAAACGCTGGGGGCAAAATACTAACTTGACTAATTCAAAACTAAACATATGTTGTTCAATAACAAATTCCACTCAACTCTATGCAAATATGTTCCAGAGGAGAAGCACATGTTCACAAAGAGGGCCTGGGGCTAAAGCTCTCCACATACACACTCCATACAAGTTATTAGAATAAAATGTAAAATCATTATACTGTATGAAAATATATCTTAACAACAGTTACGGAAAAAGTTACACATTAAAACAGTCTAAACTTCAAGTCTGTTGGAACACAATATAAATGTTTCTTATTGAGCTTGAGGCAGAATAGTATTGCATTAGATTTCAAACCGTCACGATGCTATGAAAGTTCATTATGTGTATGCAAAATAAACAAGATGAAAAATGGGGTGGCTGACTGAAGTCCTCAAGAAACCACCACACACTGATGAACCCAATATATTTCTGCCAGAAGGGACTGCTATTCAACACCTTTCTTTCATTTTCATACAAGAGCGGGAAAAAAACATTCTCATTCTGCCGAACAACAATGGGCAAAGTTAATTTCTCTATAGAATTGCACAGAGCATTTAGCCAATATCACTGACATATGGTAATAGCTCAAAGTAAAGAAACTATCTTTCTGTTGTTGATCCACATCTACCAATATTTCAAACACCAAAGTCACTTTCTGCATCAAGGACACAGCTCTTCGGTGCATACAGACTCAAAGTGCAGGAATCAAAAAGTATGAAGTAATTATTATGAACTATTTCTGAAAAGTTGATCCCATGATTCCAAGAGCGTCATGAACGTGCTCAACAGTAGAATGGCATCCTCACCTCAGAGTCAGACTCACAGTATCCACAGTCTCCTTTTTTCCAGTTCGCCCACAGTAACACATGGAAGCAGAATTTTCAATGACCTCTATACGAGGAACTGACAAGTGCTCTCCTTTTGGCCATGCTTTAAGGCTGTCCTTCCTTACCTTTTTGCTCGGTATACCCCCTCGCCAGATTAGACTGGGCAAGGGGACCCCCTGTTGTTAAATCTTTCATATACCCCGGAGAAAAATGAGTTAAGGTCCAGGCCAATAAATAAACAAGAGCTGGATGGTGAGTCAACTTTTTAGGCTTTACTGGTTCACCAAGATGTCATCATTTTCTTTATGGAAAGTTTGTTTGTAGCTCAGAGTTTCCATTTGGTTATTTTAAGGTTAAGGTAATTTTTATTGATCCTCAAAAGGGAAATTTGTCCTCTGCATTTGACCCAACATGCAACGTCACTCTGTCAGGCGCATTGGTCGCCGTAGTGCATCATTCAGGTGTTGATGCAGAGCTACCAGAGATGGAATAGTTTTATCTATAGCTTTTTAGCGGTAGACAAGCCAGAGTACTCGGAGGAAACCTACGCAGACACGTGGAGAACGTGCAAACTCCACTCCGAGAGAACCTGTTCCAACTGGGTTTCGAGCCCAGGACCTTCTAGCTGAGAATCAAGAGTGCTAATCAAAACTTTCCCGCTCACTTTTAGAAGTATTATTCACATGCAATATCCTCATAGGAGTGTCATAAAATCCATATATCAAGAGTTAAGAAAGTTTGTCTGTTTGAGCCAGTAATAAGTAAGAAGTAAGAATACCTGTGTAATAATAGCTATGGTTTTAGCTTTAATCATTGTAGAAATTGTATTTGAGCATAATGTTGAATGAGCACAGCTTCCACTTCAGCAGCAGCAGTATTTCTGTTGCAAAGGTAAAGGTAATACCATATGAATCCCAGTCTGTTCGTTAGCCCTCCTCTTAACACTTCACACAACCATGCCACTGCACTCCTGTTCTTCATCAGCGCCAACTTCTTTCTCTGGAGTCCTTTCACACAGGGCCAGGGGGGAATGCTGCTTCACCTCCACACTCCATTAAGCCTCACAGGCAGTTGAAGCCGTCTCTCTATGCAATATTTATTAAAAACCTGTGGTCTCTCTGGACATTTACAACGGTGGGAGACGGTAACGGGGGATGCAAGGTGCCAGCCGGATCATCTCACCAAGGTTTAATCTACGCACAGGTTTGCAAAATGCTAAGTCTCGCCTTCCCACCGCAACATCTCTGGAATATAAACTTTGAAAACCATAGGCAGAGGCGCATCAAGGGTTTTCACAGATCTGAATTATGTATAGGTTAAACTTGGGGATTGCGCATTTGTTTCCTTCATATATTTCACAGAGAACTCTACGGCATGACCTTCCTCTCTATTATCCATGGCGCACTATATGTTTCATGTCACTGCAACCAAATTTTTGTTTACCTCATTCTCCCACTTGTATATACATTTTTGGGCTTGGTATAGGTGTGTAACAATAGCTTAATAGGCCTCTACAACTTTTGAAATCTATCTTAGTGGTTTAAGTGGCCTGGCAGAGAACACAGTTGTTTTGTCGAAGCCCTCGGGAAGTTTGTTTGTAAAAAATAGTCCCACCAAACACGTACAGGCATTTAGATTTAGGTCAATATAATGAGTATGCCAATAATTGATCTACCTCACAGTCAATCCTTGTGCTCAGCATCAATCACGTGACCCCCTTATCGCACGCTAAAGTCGGTGTTTAGCCTTTTTTAACAATACAATAGAACTGCGTACTTCTGTTCATGTGTCATTCATATTTCATAATAATGTGCAATACAAAATTCACTATAGTTGCTTTTTATTCAGTCCATATCCTTATGCTGCTTTAAACAAAAACCGTCACAATAGCGTCATTGTAAATCAGCCTGAACACCTGCCATTATCTACATAGTGTTATTCTGTCATTGGATACATATTTTTATTTATTTTCAAGTGTAATTATAATTTAATACTTAATCGGCTTTTCAAGAATATGAAGTTGAGTTACACCGTCAATATTTAGAGCTCTTTATCTTGTTTTGAGCGCCTATTTTATTATTTATTATTTATTTTAGTGACGAAAAAGGTTTTCCTATCCAATTATTATCATTTCCACAGATTTTTGCTGTTGAAGTGAAGAATTGAAAGTCAATTAAATTAATTTATTTTCAGCAAACTGCCAATGAACCTGGCACAAGGTTCTGTTTCTGCAATATTTAAGAAAACTATGGAAGAAAAAGATAGTTAATCCTAATTACTCATGGATTTCCCTTGAGGACGAATCCATTAGTCTAATTGTAAGTCTATTATGATTTTCTACCCCATTTATAAAGATGTATATCTAGGAAATTAGTTAATATGCAATATCCAATGCACAGTACAGATGAACCAAATTCAGTGCCGCAATGATACATAAACAGCAGAACTGCTGTTTATGTATCAACACAGACAGCTTTCTCTAAAGCTTTAAATTTACTATAAATGGAATGTCAGCCTTCCATTTAACCTTGCCCCAAATATTTATAACCATCAAACAAAACAATTCAGAGAAAACAGGAACGTATGAAACTCAAATTAGGGCCCAAGACAACATGAATAATGCATGTCTCCAGTCTTTGTTTGGCAGTGCTCCGTCACCTCACAACGCAGGCTGCCTCTTTTATCCACATCATTAACAGTAAAAACACCAAACATGTATATCGCTAAGCTGTCCCAATTTATGAGCCGTTTCATTTTCACAACTTCTTTGCTGTTCGTGGCAACAGAACGGTGGATAAGTAATTGCAATCCACAAACTCATTTAAAATGTTGCTTTTGATTGGGCTTACCAAAATCTCCAGGGACAAAAATGTCATAGACGCAGGACTGGCCCCTGGTGTAGTTGTGGGGGTAGTTTGGGGACAGCACCGTTCCCTCTGAGCCAGTGAAGTGTCCTCCACACGGGGCTGTAGGAACAGATACATACAAACAGAGTTAACAAGCAGGCGGTCACCAGGTTAAAAGGATACCTGGGGAAATAGGGCACCGGTATAATCAGCAAAGCCATAACCAGCGGCACAAATGCAGTGGTGTCGACAGTTCTTCCACATCAGATCATAGAGCGACCTTTAAACTAAACACTGGGTTTTGCTTTCAACACGTCGGTTACTCACAGGGATGTAGGCGACACTGCTGTTACCTACAAGAACTACTAGTAATTACAGAGTCAATAGCCACGTTTCCACTGCAGGAACTTTTACGGGGCCCAATAAAGTCCCTCCTCCATGGTATGTACTCGGTTGGGCCCTGGTGGGACTTGAGGTTAACCCGTCGCTGATTGGCTTAAGCTAGCGCAGGCTCTGACGCCAACAGAAAGCAGCAAAACAAGCGGCATTCAGCAGCATTAGCCTAGCAGCATTAGCCTAGCAGCGTTAGCCTAGCACAATGGTTCCCAAAGTGGGGGTCCCGACCCCCCGGGGGGTCGCGGGAATCCCTGGGGGGGGGGTTGCAAGATGATTTAAAAAAAAAAAAGCAAAGGAAGGTTTCTCACCCCTGACTAATCCCTGTACGACTGAGGGCTTACACAAACTTAAAAAAAAAAAAAAAAAAAAAAAAAATTGCTAATTAATAGCCTTTAAATATTGATTTAGCATTTGATTTGATTCATAAGAACTACTTGTTAAATTATGTTTGGAGAATATAATATATTTAAATTACGTTTGTAATTTTGTCCAGTCATTGACAGCGTCAATCAAAATCAAGTTACGCAGCTTACGTCACGCAGCGACAAAGCGTGTCCTGCTGTTGTTTGCTAAAGCTAAAGGTGTTTGGAGGCTACAAACAAATACCTGCTTGAAAATGAAACGTGGTTAATATCCACAACAGAAAAACACGGAGGGGGAGGAAAGTCACATGTGAGGTCAGGCTGATGGTGCGAAGAGAGGGAGAGAGGGCAGTGGAGGGAGAGAGGGCAGTGGAGGGAGAGAGGGCAGCGGAGGGAGAGAGGGCAGCGGTAGAACAGCACGGTAAAGAGGCCCGGCTTCATGGGGTCCAAGGTAAAGAGGTCCGCACAGTAAAAGTGGGTGGCCGGTTTATGCTGTTACTTACAGTAACTGTGGAAAAAGAATACGCGGGGGAGGAACCGCAGAAAGTAACAGCAGAAAGCGGCCGCCCGCTTTTGATGTGCGGACCTTTTTACCGCTGACTCCAAAAGCCGGGCCACTTTACCGCGGTCGGAGAACAGTGAGGGCGAGCCGTAAGAAATGCGCTCCACTTTTGCTAAGAAGCCCACCAAGCCCATCACTGTGTCACTACGTGAGTAAAAATACGCAAGCCTCCTTTTTTGTGCTGGACAGTGCAGCTCAGTAGTGGCGCTAGTCTCTGCGTTACTCCGTATCAAAGTAATACATGCTCATTGACGGGAAGAACTGTTGAGGTGGGGGGTCGCGGGGGAGCAGCGCATTTATGATGGGGGTCGCAGGCTAAAAACTTTGGGAACCCCTGGCCTAGCAGACACCACTGGACACAGCGAACAACAGCACGGCATTGATTCAGACGGGGTTTGAGCATGGGTTTGAGGCATCGCGGCGAAATGAAAAGATATATTTAGACAGCTTCACCTCAAAGCACTGAGGATTCATCACACTCCAAAACATGCCGTGAAAAGTTTTAAAAAACTGAAGCAGGACAATAAAAAAAACTCAAAGACCACAACAACCGGAGCGGTCATGAACGTAAAATAAAGATGGGTTTGGCGCATGGATCGATAATAATAACGGGTTTGGCGTAATGAGTTTTGCTTATGCAGCAATCGAAACTCATGACGTCGCCGAGTGGTCCTACTCTGCAGTGGAGACACAGACACTGAGAGGACCGAGGGAGAGGAAGGTTCCTGCAAAAGTTCCACCCCGCTCCTTTTACCAGGATCTCCTGCGGTGGAAACTCAGCTATTGTCACCTGTATGTGAAAGCCTGATCCTGACATGTTTTTTATATTACATACTGCTCCTCATTCCTACAGTTCTGTAACTTGTGATGCAACACTGGATTTTCCCCACTGTGGGAAAGGATCTTCATTCATTCAGGGTCAGGGGGGTGGCAATCAGAGCTTCCACCCAATTCACAAAGCACCAGTCCCTTGCTGCTCCTTCAACGCAGATACGGCCTTTATCTTTCAGCGGGGGTTAAGTGTCTTGCCCAGGGACACAATAGCAGACATCAGTGGGAGCAGGTGACATGGGTTGTGGTGGGATTGAACCCACAACCATCTGAGCCACTGTCGACCCCCAGTTGGGAAAGAATCTCTTCATCTTAATTGTGATGTTTTCATCAGTTTGCATATTTTTTGCATTACACATAGACCATAGTAAGACACTTTGTTGTTTCTATCTTCCCCTGGTGTTTGAAAAAGTGGCATTTCCCCACTGAGATACAACAAAAGGTAAACTTATCTTATCTGAAATAAATAAGAAAATAAAACATATCCTGTCATATTTGAGAAGTTAAGCAGTACAGGGCCTTGTTAGTATGGAGTCTGGTGTATGCGTGAATGACTCGTGGTTGGAGGGGCCAAGTAACAACACATCCCAGGTTAACAGATCTTGTGACTAGCTCGATGTTTTATGGGTTGGAAGAGCCATTACGATACTAAATCTTGAATTCAATATCTATTAATTTCCAATACAATCCAATCCACTTTATTTATATAGCACATTTAAACAACAGTTACGTTTCCAAAGTGCTGCACAAAAAAGTATAAAATAAATAACAACTTATCCTTAGCTTCACCAAGTATAAAAGAATAAAAATATATAAAACAGATTAAAACCATAAATAGAAAAATAAAAACACAGAGGACCACACAACTCACACAGTGTTAAAAGCCAAAGAGTAAAAGTGGGTCTTAAGACGAGACTTAAAACACTCTACTGTGGGGGCCGTCCGGACATGGAGGGGAAGAGCGTTCCAGAGCTTAGGGCCGACCACAGAAAAGGCTCTGGCCCCCCGGGTTTTAAGTCTCGCGTTAGGGACCACGAGCTGGAGCTGGCTCTCGGACCTCAGGGCGCGCGCAGGAGTGTAAATTTGGATGAGGTCCGAGATGTAATCAGGGGCCTGTCCATGCAAAGATTTAAAAACAAACAGTAAAATTTTAAAATAAATTCTAAAATGAACAGGGAGCCAGTGCAAAGACGCGAGTACAGGGGTGATGTGTTCGCGCTTTCTGGCCCCCGTTAAAAGTTGTGCTGCTGCGTTCTGGACCAACTGCAACCGGGAGAGGGTTTTCTGATTGACACCAGCATAAAGTGTGTTGCAGTAGTCCAGACGACTGGAAATAAAATTTAAATACATTTGTTCATTTCATTCATGTATTAAAAACATGAGTGTCTTACAGTTATTAGACAAAATATGAATGAAAAGGAGTACAAAGAAGAGCAATCTTACCTAATAAATGAAAAAGAAATACAGTACTAAAAAGTCTGTCTTGTCTGCACTGCATTAACAAATCGTATTATACTTAACGCTATATTAAACATATTTGCTTTTAATGGAAAACATTTTCATCTAATTGAAAACTGTGAAAAATCCATGCTGCCCAGCTCAGTGAGGAAATCAACGGAGATGACTTTGTTAGCGTATAAATTGCACTAAATGCATACTGTACGTGACACTCGCTAAAGCCACACAAACCATTTCCCATCTCAGTGACGCCACAGGCACGGCGGGCAGCGAGGGCCGACAGTCACTCGGTAAGTGGGTTCATTAATATAAACAGAGCTTTGTCCTGCACCTGCGATGTGGCTCAGTGTCCTATCTTAAGCTGATAATGATGTACCTAATTTGTCAAGAGGCTCCACTAATGCAGTAGCCTTAGACACTGTGGACCAAGCCATCAGGGGTGGGAGCCTCCGCTGTAAACAAACACATACTCCTTTATTGAAGAACAAAATAAATAAATAAAAAATAATATGTCACCAGCTGCTCTCAACTCCCTCCAGCCCACAATATGCACATGTCATTGTTGTTACACTAAGACGAGCAAGACAAGAGGGAGCTATGAGCACTTAGGCGTTAAGGCAAAAAGATGAGTCAGCAGTTTATCAGTGTTCGCCCTTCGAGGGGATCAGGGCAAACATATGGAAACCAGCGAGCAGAACCAGTGGGTGTTTGACAACGCACTCACTTTGTGACAAAGAACAAGCATGTTTGAAGTAGACATAGTGTGTTTTGTTAGCCAGTGACAATCAACACACTGATGGAACGATTGTATACTATTTTGAGTATTTGAAATCTCATGATCTATAATGATGGGGGGATAGTCCTGCATTCTCGTATTTGTCACCATAAATTTAGTGAGTTGAAACTGCCATGAAGCACAGCTCTGATTAGCAGATCAGCTGTGATTTGAGCTGGAGTTTTTTTTCATCCAAGCCATCTATCAGAGATTCATGGAAAAAAAAAAAAAAACTTTACCAAGTAAGTAAAGCACATTACTGCTGCCTTTAAGGGGTAAATTAGTCACATACTGAGGATTTAACATTCACTCAAATGCAGGATAAGAATAGTAAATGAGGCCGAGTAAGACGAGGCCTGGCCAATCTGGAGGATATAAATAAGAATCATGATACATCTTTTTTTCTATATATATTTTCTGTGATAATAATAGCAAAAATAACTTTATATAAATAGCATGTTTATAATTTAGTATCCACATTACTCGCTGACCTTATCTCAAGGGGCAGTGTTCCAGACAGGCAGAAGGTACAGAAAAAAGCATCTCAGGGGCCAGACCACGGAGAGGCTCAAAAGTGATAAGCAGGATTTTGAAGTCAATTCTAAGGGTAACTGGTAACCCGTATAAAGCGGCTGGATTTTTGCACATAATTGATAATGTGCAAAAAAATGGCCCAAGAATCGAACCTTGAGGGACACCACACAGATGGGGGGCAGAAAAGGATGCGGGATGATGA